AGCTCCTCTCTAACCCCGGGGCTCAGAGGACAGGTGGCTTTGGTTTTCCCAAGAAACTATCCTCCAGGTGCGTCAGGGTTGCTCGGCGCGTCTGTCTTTGGCCTGTTTGGTGGGTGACCAGCCAACGCGTCGATTTCTCCGTCACCTCTGACCTGAAACCAGCAGCGGCCCAAGGAAGGAGGCCTGTGGTTGGGGTGTGCCCGTCAGCAGGAAATGAGAGGGTGAGACGCGTCCTAGAGGAGGAGGAATGAGCTGGAAAGCTTCTGTCTATGTCACCAAATAGGATTTATTAAAAGATTTAATGGACCCGGGACAGATTAACCCAGACAGGAAAATGACATAATTAACGAAGAAAAGTAAAGAAGTGAGAAAGCACAGGATGTGCTTTCAGAAATAGAAGTGTCCTGTTCGGCCCGAGGCGGGGGCTGTGCGGTCAGGATTAGAGAGAGGAGCCCGCAGGCTCAGAAAGGCGGGGTCCACAGGAGAGAGGGCCCAGGGGGCGGGGGGAGGGGCTGGAGCAGCCGGGGCCTGTAACAACCCAGGGAAAGGCTCCAGTCCTAACAGCGGGCAGCTGCACGGTTCTTCCTGACCAAGGAGTGTTTTCCGAGGTGGGGCCAGGGCGGGTCAGCACGTATCCGGGGAAACACATGTGCAAACAAACATGTGCTGTTTCCCTGGCCCAGCTCGTGAGGGGGGAGGAGCCTGGATGCTGCATGTAGGACGCCCGGGAGGGGCTGGGAGTTAGAGCTCGGGGTCCGGCCTCGCTGGGGCTCGCACATATTTGTTACGGGTCCGGCTTTCCTCTGCACGGGAAGCAGCTGGGATGCCACCGTGGCTCCTGCATCCTCTGACGGGGAAGAGGGTGGTTCCCGGAACGTGCTGCTCCCAGTGAGCGGGTGTGGCTCTCACATCCATCGCTCTCGGCCTTCTACCCTGCGGCTGTGCGGGCCGGGCCGATCGGGCTGTGGCAGAGCAGCTGAGAGCAGCCGGGCTTCCCCGGCGACATGCTCTCCGCCTGCCGAAGCTGTGCCAACCACAGACGTGCCAGGAGCTCCGAACACCAGAAAAATAGGCCGAACTCAATCGTGCCTGACACAGGTGGCATCGCGGGCTTCTGCATTTAACATGCAGCCCCCATGGCCCACTGGGCACTTCCCGGTGAAGGGAGCAGCAGCAGCGCGGCCAGCCGCTGGGCGTGGAGGCCGGGGGGGACCAGCAGCCAGTCCGACGCGAGGGCTCGGATGACGGCAGGTGTGGCTGGAGCGAAGGGAGAGCAGCAAAGCACAGGCCTTCCCGCCACCCACAGAGGAGCCCGCAGCACGGGGCGGCCGGATGGGAGGGCGAAGCCATCAGCTCAGAAAGGAACTCAACCGCACGCTTGGACAGGAGGGCTGAGACAGGACTGCGGAGATAGCGACCACAAGGAAAGATGGATGATTTACCTACAGTGGAAATCGGTTCTTCTCACCAACAGACACCATCACAGGAGTGAAAAGCAAGCCAGAGCGGCGAGGAAGACATAACCAGCAAAGGACGTGCACCCGGCGTTTGTACAGAACTCCTGCCAATTAATTAGAAAAACATAAAGAATCCGAGAGAGAAAATGGGCAAGACTTGGCCCTTCACCAGAGAGGACATGCAACTGGCAAACATATAAAAACATACTTAACCCCACTAAGCATCAGGGACACCAGTGAAACCACAGGAAGGTACACCCACTAGATGAGGGGGAATGTGAAAGTCCGGCCGTCCCGAGTGCCGCTGAGGGACGCGCTCCATCTCCGCGCGGGTGGTGGGCGTGGAGGCTGGCTGCCCGCTGTGGAGACCGGAATGGCAGGGAAGTTGAAGGCAGGGGCCCTGGGGCGCGTGACCCACGCAGCAATGGCGTTTGCGCGTCCTCGAGGCGGGGCTGTTCGTTGCGGCCATATGTGCAGACGAGGTTAACGACAGCGAACCACCGAGCGACATGGTGGCAAGTTGCACAGTGAAACCCATACAGCCACGGATATGCACCAACTACAGGCACAAACACAGCCTGGATGAGTCTCAAAAACAGAAAGTTGGATTAAACAAGCAAGACACAAATGAAGACATTCTGTTTGATTCTGTTTGCATAAAACCACCACAGAAGCAAAAAACGTAAGTGGTAAAACTCTAGAGAACAGCAAGAAAGTGTGAGTGTCAGGTCCAGACTTCTGGGGTGGGGGTGAGGGTGTCAGGGTAAGCGGCGGTCACGTGGGTGTGGGCTTGATAAGGATGCTCACCCTGCACCTTATGTTTATGCCCTTTTCTGCATTATGGATGTTTAATGACGAAGCTCCCTGCCCCCAGGAGGGGTGTGCAGGATGGACAGCTACTGTGATGAGGGAAGGGCCTGAGGAGAAGGAATCCAGTCATCGGCTGAAACGGGCATTCCTAGCACAGCCCGTTGGAAAGAGAAGCTTCCGGAGCATCGGGCAGACGAACTGCTCATGAACTCGTGTCAACGGGCACCTTTCAGCCACCTGGGCCCTGTCACCTGTGAAAGTGTGCGACTTCTGTGAGGCCAGGACCAGATGCTGGGGTCGGGGACCAGCTTGTGGCTCCTTTTCTCAAGCGGGCAAGGCCTCGCCTAGGACGCAGCACACCCGGTTCTTCCCACAGTGACAGGGACCTGTCACCAAGAGAGCACTGGAGGGAAACGGAGTTCTGTTCAGGGAACACCTCTGCCTCGCTCAGCAAGTACAGGATCGCTAGCGACGCTGGCCTCTCGCTCCACCGCCATGCTTTACAGACGCCCGGCTTTACACTAGGGGGAACACATGTCGCTATAATATGGCAAACTAGTGGCCCGGTGCACAAAATTCGTGCACGGGGTGAGGGTGTCCCTCAGCCTGCCTTGCACCCTCTCCAATCTGGGACATCCCTCTTGCAATCTGGGACCACTGGCTCCTAACTGCTCACCTGCCTGCTGGTCTGATCGCCCCCAGCTGCAACCCCTCCCCCTGCCAGCCAGCTCACCCCCAACTGCCCCCCCTGCCAGCTTGCTCGCCCCCAACTGCCCCCCCCGCCCCGTGCCAGCCTGCTCACCCCAACTGCCACCCCTGATGGCCTGCTCGCCCCCAACTGACCCCCCCGCCCCCGACAGCTTGATCACCCCTAACTGCTTCTGCCTCGGCCCCACCACCATGGCTTTGTCTGGAAGGATGTCCGGAAGGTCTCCCAATCTAGTTAGCATATTACTCTTTTATTAATATAGATCAGTGGTTCTCAACCTTCCTAATGCTGCGACCCTTTAATACAGTTCCTCATGTTGTGGTGACCCCCAACCATAAAATTATTTTCGTTGCTACTTCATAACTGTAATGTTGCTACTGTTATGAATCGTAATGTAAATATCTGATATGCAGGATGTATTTAGGCGACCCCTGTGAAAGGGTCATTTGACTGCCAAAGGGGTCGCGACCCACAGTTTGAGAACCGCTGGTCTAGATGGTTATTCCCACAGTAGCCACGGTGGCCGACCATCCCTGTTTGCCTGGGGACTTAAAGGCCTTTCGGTGCAAAACAGGGACAGTCCCGGGGAAACCAGACGAGGAGGTTACTCTATAGGTCACACGCTCTCTCCTGCCAGTCACGTGGCCTAACAGTATCTTAGCACATGCGGACGGATCACGAGAATTCTCGTGTTTTCTGTTCTACGCTTGTGGCCAATCACGAGAATTCTCGGCTTTCCATTGTTGTCATTTAGAGAGAAACAGTGTAACAGAAAACGCATTTGCTGAAGTTAAAAATCACAAAAGGAATTAAAAGTGATTAGTCTCTTGTTGTTAGTAATAAAAATAACTGTTTTTAATATCAATTTGATATTTTTAAAGTGCTCAGTAACCATGGATAGTGACGAAATACATGTTAAAATTCTGGATATATTTGCTGACAATTTATCAGATATTCCAAGTGAAAGTGATGAAAGCTTTGACAGTGGCAGTGATATAGTTATTCCTTCAAAAAGGCGAAAAATAGTAATTTCAAGTGATTCCGAACTTGAAATTTTGAACAATTCCACACATGATTTTGAGTATAATTTGCATCTTGGTTGCCAAGATAATGATTGGTCAAAAAAGGACTTTCAACCTAATTTGGAAAAATTTGAAGGTAATCCTGGGGTTACAGTTATATCGTCTGATTCTAAGAACATCATTGATTTTTGACAACAATCTGTTTGAACTATTTTGTCATCAATCGAACATATATTATAACCAAAATTGGGGAAAGCACAAAACTTCGAAAGCAATAAAGTGGTCTCCTGTTACTCCAAAAACCTTTAGGACTCAGAGTGCTAATGGGGCGTTCTCGAAAGGATACTTGGAAAGAATAGTGTCTACAAATCCAGTTCTAGCTGTTCCAATATTTCCTCAGACGATGAGTCGAAATCGTTTTGAACAAATCTGGACTTACTGGCATTTCAATGACAATGCACACATGACTAACTCTTCATCCAGGCTATTTAAAATTCAACCTGTACTCGACCACTTTATTAGCAAATTTCAAACAATATAGAAGCCTAGGCGAGAATTACCATTAGATGAAGGCGTGATTCCCTGGAGGGACGTCTTCTATTTCGAACTTACAACCCAGCTAAGATGATTAAATATGGCTGACTTATAGGAATGGTATGTGAGAGCAAGACTGGGTATATTTGCAATATGGAAATTTATACAGGAGAAGGAAGAAAATTGAATGACTATTCTATCACTACTTCAGCCGTATCTGGAATCGGGGCATCACATATACCAAGATAACTATTTCAATAGCGTTTCAATTGCAGAAACTTTATATAAAAGGAAGTATCCTACTAAAGTTTGCAAAGTGTGCAAAAGTAACGGTAAGAGAAGAGAAACGCGTTACATTTGCAGCTTTGTTTAGTTCCGCTTCATATTACAGTGTTTTACACAGTCTCATACTTTAAAAAGACATTAGCTTGTAAGAACATGTAATAAATAACTTTGAGAGGCAATGGGTGTTTAATTTTAAAGCGTGCCTTTAACATTTATGTAAAACGTTTTTTGTACTCGTTCAACAGAAACTTATCTGGCCACTGGGTAAAGCTGGCAATAAAACTACTGGTCCGCAATGTGCTAATGTCCTCAGCTCGTCCAATGCCTCGCTGTGGAGACCCTCTGTTCCCGCACCATCTCGTCCAATGCCTCGCTGTGGAGACCCTCCATTCCCGCACAATCTCGTCCAATGCCTCGCTGTGGACACCCTCCATTCCCGCACAATCTCGTCCAATGCCTCGCTGTGGACACCCTCCGTTCCCGCACCATCTCGTCCAATGCCTCGCTGTGGAGACCCTCCATTCCCGCACAATCTCGTCCAATGCCTCGCTGTGGACACCCTCCGTTCCCGCACCATCTCGTCCAATGCCTCGCTGTGGACACCCTCCGTTCCCGCACCATCTCGTCCAATGCCTCGCTGTGGAGACCCTCCATTCCCACACGCGCCTCTAAGAGTGAACTTCGCAGAGAGTAAACCGTGAGAAGCGCCGCTCGAGAAGCTGTGTCACAAGCACACAGTCAGCCTCCCTGATCTCTGATTCAGTCAAACACTCAAAAGAGAAAATAGTGTCCCTGCACTAAGCGTCCTCGTCACCCACTGAATGGAGACGGGCGTCCGCCTCTCCGCTCCGGGTGTCTTCCTGTCACTACAGACCTGCCTCTGCCCGTCGGCGTCACCACCCGGCTCCCTGCGAACGTGGAGAGCCAAGGCCTTCACCTTCGTACGGACTGTGAGGGCTGGGAACCCTTCACCCACTTTCCCTTAGAGCGAGCACATCCACGCCGATTAAAATACCTGCCCTACCTGTGCATTCCTTCAGAGCCCAAGGTGAAACCAGGGAAGGACTAGCTGTCTGACAGATGCAACATCCATGTGCACACACACATCCATACACCGCAGGCCTTTATAAAATGCATACATGTGCACACACACACACCCATACACCGCAGGCCCTTATAAAATGCATACATGTGCACACACACACCCCATACACCGCAGGCCCTTATAAAATGCATACATGTGCACACACACACCCATACACCGCAGGCCCTTATGAAATGCATACATGTGCACACACACACCCATACACCGCAGGCCCTTATGAAATGCATACATGTGCACACACACCCAATGCACCGCAGACCCTTATAAAATGCATACATGTGCACACACGCCCAATGCACCGCAGACCCTTATAAAATGCATACATGTGCACACACCCCCATACACCGCAGGCCCTTATAAAATGAATACATGTGTACACACACACACACCCATGCACCGCAGGCCCTTATAAAATGAATACATGTGCACACACACACCCAATGCACCGCAGGCCCTTATAAAATGCATACATGTGCACACACACCCATACACTGCAGGCCCTTATGAAATGCATACGTGTGGTGTTGAAACACGTTCTCAGTAACTAGTTATGTTCTCCTCTGACCCTCGCCTGTGAGCTCCGACCTCCCAGCAGTCCTGGTCAGCACCTACTTTCCTAGGGGCCTCGGAAATACAATCTGGCTGCCATCTTACTAAACAGCGTCTTTATTATTATTATTATTATTATTATTATTATTATTAATTTCAGAGAGGAAGGGAGAGGGAGAGAGGGATAGAAACATCAGTGAGAGAGAACCATTGATCGACTGCCTCCTGTACGCCTCCTACTGGGGGTTGAGCGCAGAACCAGGGCCCTGACCTGGAATTGAACCCTGACCTGCTGGTTCCTGGGTCGACGCTCAGCCACTGAGCCACACCAGCCGGGCTAGAACG